CTTTTCTTCTCAAATTTTATTTATTGAGGTTTTTTTCTTCTTTCTTTTGTTACTCTGGATAAAGGCTTTTCTATTTTGTTTATCTTCTTAAAGAACCAGCTATTTGTTTTATATCTCTAATATTCTTTTAGTTTCAATTTCATTTATGACTGTTCTTATATTTATTTTTTCTTGTGCCCTGCTAATTTTTGCCTATGGCTTGTTTTTCTTTTTCTGTGTTTTTTTTTTAAAGATTTATATATTTTTTTGAAAGTCAGAGTTTTTTTTTTTTTTTGAAAGTCAGAGAGAAGAGGCAGAGAGAGAGGTCTTCCATTCACTGGTTCACTCCCCAATTGGCCATAACGACCAGTGCTGTGCCGATCTGACGCCAGGAGCTTCTTCCAGGTCTCCCACGCAGGTGCAGGTTCCCAAGGACTTGGGCCATATTCTACTGCTTTCCCAGGCCATAGCAAAGAGCTGGATAGAGGCCGGCACCATGGCTCACTTGGCTCATCCTCCACCTGTGGCGCTGGCACCTCAGGTTCTAGTCCTGGTTGGGGCACCGGGTACTAGTCCCAGTTGCTCCTCTTCTAGTCCAATCTCTCTGCTGTGGCCCGGGAGGTAATGGAGAATGACCCAAGTGCTGGGTCCCTGCACCCACATGGAGACGGAGGAAGCATCTGGCTCCTGGCTTCAGATTGGCACAGCACCAGTTGTGGCAGCCAATAGGGAGTGAACAACAGAAGGAAGACCCTTCTGTCTCTCTCTTGTCACTGTCTATAACTGTCTCTATCTCTCTCTCTCTCTCTCACTGTTCCAACTCTGCGCTGTCCAAAAAAAAAAAAAAAAAAGAAGAAGAAACGAAGCAGCGAAGAAGAACAGAAGAAGCGAATAGCAGAGATCATAGCAGAAAAGCAGAATAAGAAGAAGAAAATAAAGAATAGAGAAGAGAAGAAGAAGAAGAAGAAGAAGAGCTGGATAGAAAGTTGGAGCAGCCGGGTCCTCCAAACCGGTGCCACATATGGGGGATGCCCAGCACTTCCAGGCCAGGGTGTTAAACCACTGCACCACAGTGCTGGCCACTTTTTCTGGGTTTTTGAGATGCATCATTAGACCATTTATTTAAGATCTTTCAAATTTAAATGTAAGCACTTGTCATTATAAAATTTCCTCTTAATACTGCTTTTGCTGTGTTCTATGCTTTGATATGTGTGTTTCATATTCATTTGTTTTAAGAAATTTTCTGACCTCTTTTTAATTTTTTAAAATGATGCATTGGTCATCATGTTGTTTAATTTTCATGTACCTGTGAACTTTCCAGTGCCCTTTTTTATTATTATTGATGTCTAGTTAGATTGATTTCAGTCTGAGAAGGTAGGCGCATGGTATGATTTCAATCTTTTGAAGTTTTTGAGACTTGATTTCTTCATTAGTAATCAGTGTCAGCATTGTCTACATGTGCCACAGGTTTCCGTTCTTCAGCCTTTTGTGGATGTTACAGTATGACTTTGAAGTGGCATGAGCTTCCATAGGTTCTTAGTCCCTAGAGTTGTCAGCCATACTGGGGTTTGTGATGTCCGTATCCACATTTCTGGTCATGCTACCCTTTTCTACCAGGCAAATATGAATATTTCTGGTGTTTGTGGCAGCAAAATTTATGGCCTTTTTACTTTACTATGTGGATAAGACATTCCCCAGGTCCTGATATGTTAGCCTGACTAATACCCAGAAATTTAGCATCATGAGTTCAAGTCCCAAGCTGGGAAATGTTAAGGAGACATTCCCTGAGTCCTACAGGGTGAATACAGTTTATGCTGAGGGTTGTGTATCAGCAGGTCTGGGTCTGGAGCACTGGAATGCTTATAGGCTCCATTCCCTAGGGTCTAGGTGTATTTACATGACTCTCTGAAATACAGTACACAGAGTGACAGCCCTGGAGATACAGGATACAGCGGGGGTCCTTATCCAGGTCTCTCAGGTTGACTGCCAATTATTCCAGGGATTGAATTCCAGCCTGAAGCATACAAAGATAGGATTGTATCACTCCCACAGATGAGTGTTATTCCAGGGTTTATAACACCAGCAGCAGCAATCCTAGAGCTTCAGATATTGGAGAGAACTTTCCTTTGTGCCTACAAGGCATGCAAAAATGATGCACTGTCCTGCCTTCCAGCACCATGTGCCAAGAGTTCAGAAGAGGCCTCTTTAGTTCTGGTACTCTGGAATTCTGTATGAGATGCTACTGGTTCTCACGGCCATATGAGGCCGTGAGAATTTCTCTATATTGTACAGAGCAAGCAAGTAGAGCTCCAGAGCTCCTGCAGTTGCAGAATTCACAAGGGCTGTCTCTACCATGGAAAATGCCCATGCTGTTTCTGGGAATTCTGGTAGCAAAGGGGCTGCTTGCTTCATCCAAGGCAGGTGGAGTACAGTAGCTTCTTAAAAGTAGCTTGGTCTGGCACTTTAGGGACAGACGAAGGCAATGTGGGTTTTGTCTTGGAAGCAAGGAAGTTGCTCAAAACCCAATCATCCCCCACAAATCTGCTTTCACTTGTAGGAAGCCTCCAAAAGGAGACACTGTATTGAATATTTTCCCATTTTGTATTAAAATGAGTATCTTGGCTGGGAAAGAAGGTTTTAAAACATAGTCTTACGTTTATATAATAAGGTAAATAAATTTTTTACTAACCACTTTTTACACAATCTTAAAGTTATCATTAAATTCTAGAATTAATTCCAAAGACTGAAATGACTACCTCCACTGAGATAGCTACAGCCTTATAGCTAATGTGTGCTCTTCCCCTCCCCCTTTTGTTCAACAAACAGACCCACCAATCATCATTTCACTAGCTGAAAGGCACTAAATAATTTTCTTCATAGTACCACAGGGACCTAATATCTCCAAGTCAAACAGATAATTGGTTCTTGATTTTGACACCAAGAAATGAATCAGTAAGTTATCAGAGGATGACTTCATAATTGCAGAAGGGTTTTAACTTGCTTGCCTTTTTGGGAAATGAAATTATATTTTCCAATAGACATATCTATCACAGTACCTGACAGAGATGATCAATACATCATCATAAATAAAACCAGCAAGCATACCATAGTGATTATTTGCACTTTTAATGCATTTGTTAATCTTTATTGAATAGATTTATTGTCATACAATGAAGATAACTGGGTAAAAGCTCTGTCAATCATATGGAAAAACATAAAGGTCACTTTTTATAAGTAAAACTTTCAAGTTTGCACTTAAAAAGCAAACTAAACAAAAGCACACTGGCAAGGTGGTTTTCACAGAATGACACACTATATTCAAAACTGAGAAAATGAAACAATATTGATGCCCCATTCTTAAAAATTAGTCAGATTTTTCCCAAAAAATAAGGTAGACACTCCTAGTGCTGAGTTCTGCTGAAACTTTAAATATATATTAAAATAAAAATACCAAAAGTAGACAGCTCCACATAAAATGAGAACACATTTCCCTAACAAAATTCAGAAAGAGTCCTGATTTCCCCACCACTGAAATCCTGTAAGTTTCATTGGGCTAATGATGCTTCACTGCCCTACTCTGTTATTAGTGGTCAACAAATGTAGATTCTGAATCTACTTTTTTTATCCAATTAAAGAACTACATTGGTGATGAGGCAGAAAATGAACAAATTAAATGCAAATACTTTAATTTTCAGAAATTTTGATTTTTTTCATTATTTACCTCTCCCCAAATTGAAAGAAATATTTTTGAAATGTTTCTAATAAATTAGTATAGAAAAATTATGTTTGGTACATTAACAGAAGCTATCCATTTTCTCAAAGTATAGGAATTTCAATTATTTTATTATTTGGTTTGTGGTCATTTGTATTATCACAATTGCCATAAAAATGATAACTTCAAAATTAAGCCTACAACTAGAGATAAATAACTATATTTCTATGAATTGTCCATGAGGCAGATGTTATCCAAACATCTCTTATAGATTTCCATTATTCATTATTCCTGAAAAATCACTTCAGAGACAAAACAATTATTTGTTTCAAATTTGTGACAACATCTTAATACTTCTGATAACTATAATCAATAGCAGGTAGTAAGACTTGTTTTCCGATGTGTTATATTAATGTATTTAAGTAATTAATAATGTATTTTAAGATAATTCTATTAATGTGTAAGTTTAGTGAAGAAATCTTAATAACACCAGAGATTGCTTAAAAGTGAAAAATATTATAATTTGAATGAAAATGGCTGATATTGAAGGTTCCCTTCCAAAAGAGAAATTCTATAAATCAATAAACTTAAAATTTGCTTTTATTACTAGGCATTTATCTTCATAAAATATAACATTTAATTTATATCTAATAGTATAGTTCATTTATATTATAAGTACTACAGGATTTTTCTTAGCTTATTCTTAAAAAAAAAAAAAAAACTACAAGATAACACTTTGGCTCTCCTGAACTGAAAATAATGAAAATGTTGTTCACTATGAACTGCTTAAAAAAAGTACATAGGCTGGCGCCATGACTTACTTGGCTGATCCTCTGCCTGCAGCGCCAGTACCCTGGGTTCTAGTCCCGGTTGGGGCCCCGTTCTATTCCCAGTTGCTCCTCTTCCAGTCCAGCTCTCTGCTGCTGCCCAGGAAGGCAGGAGGATGGCCCAAGTGCTTGGGCCCTGCACCCGCATGGGAGACCAGGAGGAAGCACCTGGCTCCTGGCTTTGGATCAGCGCAGCATGCCAGCCATAGCAGCCATTTGGGGGTGAACCAATGGATGGAAGACCTTTCTCTCTGTCTCTCGAGGTCTAACTCTGCCTGTCAAAAACAAATATAAACATAACCTTGGGAACATTTTTTGAGGCACAAAATCCCTGACATGGCAACAGAAGTACATAAGGACATTCAACACACACGGGTCCTTTCTAGCATGTCACATGACAACTTGTAAGATTTTCTTGGTAATACTCAGGCAATATCATGTTCGTGATTCAGAAAATCGATGAGGTTGCAAGCAATGAAAATAATAGGTGATCCTAGTAGGAAGAAAAGCTTGAAGTCCTTTCCTTCTTTCCTTGAAAGCCCTAAGAAAGGGTGCCTTCTTCCACATGAGGGGCAGAAGCACTAAATCTCAAAACTAGGTGGGAGGAGACCTGGAAATTTAGGGACCTCCTGCAAGCCTGCATGCTCTCTATTAAACATGGTTTATCCCCTCTGAAACTCATGGGCACAGTTAATCCAGTGATGAGAAATTCAGCAGTGAGAACAGGTGAGGCCCTGCAGGAAGTGATCAGGATAAATCCATTCATGTGTTCATGGATTAACGCCTTATCCCTAGGGGACCGCAACATAGACCACTTTGGATTGGCCCCCTCTGCACCCCTTCTGTCTGTCCGCTGGTCTCTGTGCCACCCCAGGACTCTACCAGCAAGAAGATCATCACCGGATGCTGCCCCTAGACCCTGCACCAAAACCATGAGGTCAATAATACTGCTTCCTTCTCACACACCGAGCCTGTGCTGCTGCACGATTAGCAACAAGAAAACTGACCCAGACCCCTACGCCGAGAGGCCTGCTTGAGATCTGCTGCCTCACTCAAGGAAATCGGGTCATACAGTAAGTTCAAGTTCTTCCTCACCACACAGAGATTGGAAAGCTGATGCCCCAGGGTTCAAAGAAGCTGCAGGCGGGGACTGCACACCACCCCGTGGTCCTGACGGCCAGCCCACTGCATACCGGAGTCCTAGCATCCTCCTGAGGGCTCCTGCGGTGTGGGAAACACAAACAGTAGCACTGGCTGAGCCGCCTGGAGCCCCTCTCAGGAGATATACCTTGTTCAATGACTGTACTTTGTGTAGTTCTTCTTGTCAGTGTATACACTTTAGAAATTGATTACAGCAGAAACACATACGAACATGTTTCTTTATGCCTTACTGTGGAAAGTTTGACTACAATGTGTCATGGTGAAGATCCTTTCAGGTCATGTTTCTTATGTGTTCTATGTGCTTCCTGTACTTGGCATCCTTTTCTTTCTCCAAATTGGGGGAGTTTTCTGTGATTATTTCACAAAAATAGGCCTTCTATTCCATTCTCTCTTTCTACATCTTCAGGTACTCTTAAGACCTGTAAGCTGGGTTATTTGACAGTTTTTTAAAAAGATTTATTTATTTATTTGAAAGTCTCAATTACAGAGAGAGAGAGGCAGAGAGAGAGAGAGAGAGAGACAGATCTTCCATCTGATGGTTCACTCCCCAATTGGCCACAACAGCTGGAGCTGTACCAATCCGAAGCCAGGAGCCAGGAGCCAGGAGCTTCTTCCAGGTCTCCCACATGGTGCAGGGGCCCAAGGACTTGGGCCATCTTCTACTGCTATCCCAGGCCATAGCAGAGAGCTGAATCAGAAGAGGAGCAGCCAAGCCCTCAAGTTGCACAAAGATGTCATTGATTCCTTGTGGAGCCTCCAAGTAACAGATCTGTCAGTTGAAGTACCTTTAACTCTCCTGTGGCTCTCACTGCCCACAAGGTCAGGAACAATATCCAGGAAAGAACTCCAACACACCATTGCATTTGAGAGTTTATGGTATGGTCACTTACATGCTCCATAGAGTACAATTGACAAATTTCTCAATTTCTATTCATGGAAAACTTGAAGCAAGTTTACTCATCAGTAAAATGTGTGAACCACTGAGAGTAGTTCTGAGTTAAAAAACTGGGGAGACATTTATCTTTGAGTCCTTTCCCCCTAAAGATAAGAATAGACCCTAGTATGTGTACAGTTTATGTGTGTGTGTGTCTTTTTGTGTTTTTACTATTTATAAGTATTTCCCATATTTCACACATTTGCAATATGGCAATATTTCTACAATATCAAGGGTTACATTTATTTTAAAAATATTTTGTCAGTCTACATTGTAAAAGAAAAGTGAACTCTAAATCAATTTTTTGACTTTCTCCTGTTGTTTTTCCCGATGAACTGTCCGGTAATTTTGAATTTACAAGAAAGTAATACATGCATAAGCACTTTGCTTAAGCAGAAATATCATAGAAAATAAGTGTGTGCTACATTTGAGTTTCCTTTTCAGAAAAATTTCTTCCTTAAAACAATCTCATGAAAAATCCCTTGCCAAAGTGTCACTATTTATATGGGCCCTGAAAAAAAATCACATATGACTCCTCTGCTTTCTTTTTCCATCCTTTATCTCTATTTTTATTTTTCAATAATATGATTGTGTAGGTAATGAAAAATTTATCTTCATGCCTAAGTATCTATGTAAAACTTACCTACACAAGTCTTGTGTTTGCCCATAACCTCTATCCATAAACTCCTACAATATAAAGCATATCCTAATGTGAATTCATATTCAAAATCCAATATTCTAACTTGCTGTGTTATACATGCTTGTTCTGGGGCTGGCACAGTAGTGTAGCAGGTAAAGCCACTGTCTGCAGTGCCAGCATTCCATATGGGCACCGTTTGAGTCCCAGCTGCTCCACTTTTGATCCAGCTCTTTGTTATGGCTTGGTGTGGTGGAATGAGAGGGCCATGCCAAGGTGGCCACTGCAAGGGAGCATCAGTTACTCAAGGAATGGCTTTGAAACCCACCTGGCAACAGGCTGTGATTGAATGGCTTTGGAAACTGCCTGGCAACAGGCTGTGACGGATGACTTTGGAAGCTGCTGGCAGGCTGTGATTGGATGGCTTTGGAAACTGCCTGCAGCTGTGATTGTGGCATGGCTGGGCATTATTGGATGGGGCATAGACTGCCCCTTGACCATATTGGCTTGTCTTGGCTATATAAGAGGTAGTTTCAACTGAAATAAACAAGTCTGCCGCTGCTCACCTCAAGCCTGCTTTCACTGGACTCCCGGGGTCTGTGTAGTGACTCCGCGCCTCTTGCCCCCACCACGCTGTTCCTCTCAGAAATGAATCCACTGCAACATTGTTGAGAAATCAACAGCAACAGGCACCCACATCTGCCAGTGGTTCGGATCCTGTCCAGAGAACCCCCAGGCTCAGCCACGGGGCCCTGGGCAGCTGCACTGAGTCCCGAGGCTGCCTGGGAAGGGAGAGGAGAGAGCCAGCTGGCCCAAGGACAGAAACAGGAAAGAGGGAATCTGGAGCTGCAGTAGGGAGAGGGAGGGGCCTGGCCCTGAGGTCCCAGGGCGCCTCCAGTGTGGGCTGGTGCAGTGGGGCAGATGCGGTCCTGAGGCAGGTAGAGTGGCAGGTACCTACCTTGGCTGACGCTCCTCAGGGACCACTGAGAGGGATTCTGAAAGACAGCTCGGGAGCCTCCTGGAGTTTTGTCTGCCCAGGAAGACTGAGGAAGGCCCACCTGTGGGCTGTGGTTGGGGTGGGGAGGGCTGGGGGTAGCTGTGACTGCCACTGTGGGGGGGGGCACGTAGACATCCTCCCCACATTGGGTGGCTCAGAAATCCTCACGGGATGGAGGGCGTTGGCACCCACACAGAATCGGGGGTGCTGGCACACTCACGGATTGGAGGCCGCTGGCAACTTCACGGGTCAGGGGGCACGGGCACCCTCACGGGTCGGGGGGCACGGGCATTCTCACAGTGTTGGGGGCCCAGGCACACTCACAGGGTCGGGTGCTGGCATCTTCTCTGGTCGGTGGACTCTCACGGGTCGAGGGGCCCAGGCAACCTCAAGAGGTCGGGGGTGCAGCCACCCTCATGGGGTTGGGAGGCGCTGGCACCCTCACGGGGTTGGGAGGCGCTGGCACCCTCACGGGTTGATGTCTACTGCAGCCCCCCGCACGGGGTCGGGGTCCGCAACCATGCTCACGGCTCGGTGGCCTGGACATCCTCACGGTCGGGGGCTCAGGCACACTCATGGGGTTGGGGGGCGCAGACTTCCTCACAGGTCGGGGGGCGCAGGCCCCCTCACGGTCCGGAGGCACAGAAATCCTCACAGGGTCTGGGGGCTCCGGCACATGCACGGAGTCAGGGGGCGCAGGCACCCTCACTGGTTGGGGGCGCAGACATCCGCGCGGATCTGGGAACGCAGCACATGCACGAGTCTGGAGGCACAGACTTCCTCACGGGTCGGGGGGTGCAGCCACCATGACGGAGTCGGGAGGTGCTGGCATCCTCACGGGGTCTGGGTCCGTAGCCATGCTCACGGTTCGGGAGCGCAAACATCCTCACGGATGGGGGGCGCAGGCACACTCATGGGGTTGGGCGGTGCAGGCACACACACGGGTCGGGGGCACAGACAACCTCACGGGATGGGTCTGCAACCATCCACACGGGTCGGGGGCGCAGGCACACGA